CCTATTAGAAATATACACAACAAATAAAAATATATGCAGTAAACAAAAATAAGCTTATATATGCTAAATCTACTGCACATATACACTTCCAAGCAGTACCAAAAAAAATAGAGGTGTGTCATTAAATATTTTTTAGAAATGTATCAGATTATATACTCAACATATACACACGATGTATTGAATATGTATTCTGGGATGTGTCATGAATGAAAATATATATATATATATATATATATATATGCATGGGGGAGTGTATCTGTATATATTTTAACAAAATATATACATGTAATAGATTCAGTAGAAAAGTTCAAAATACATAAAGATACAAATTTATCAAATACTCACAATGAATGTCTCCTTAAACAGTTCAAGTTCAGCAATAACCCGCTTCGAAAAGTCAAAGAACATTTGCTTCAAGTTATCAAGATCCCTTGAAATTGTATTCAGACGATTGATTACTTCTGAGTCATTGGAGTTTTGTGATTTAACATCAAATTGGAGCTCATTCCTAGTGAATTCATTTTTGTTGTTGAAAAATGGTTCCAACAACAAAGCTTGCTTCTCCGTCGGGGTAGGTGAAACATTTTTAAACTGTGCATAAAAAGGAATTAGATAATATTATTTATTATAAAAGACAGCAACTAGCTTTGTATATATCATGTCTATATATTGATTACATATAATGCGATGTAATAAACATACCTTGCTTGCGTCCAAGTTTGAGAACGCCCTCTCCATAAAAAGGCGGTTTTTGCTGTCCTGTACTTCCCACTTGAGCAATCTAGGTATTGCTTGACCTTCGAGTGATTTGCATACTATGCCATCCGCGGTTTTGCAAATTTCATAGAACCATATCTGAAGGGCAATAATAAGTCCATAACATCGGTAGAGGTAACTTGAACCATCTGTCTTAACATTATTATGCATCTGTTGCCTGTTTCGAATAGACTTCTTCAGATATTGGAATGTAAACTCGAAAACATCAACTCCCTAAGGGTATTCATCAAAATGTGGGCCATCAATGACGTCAAGGTAGCATCTTTCCACACGATGCGAATCCTGCGATCCCATTAGGAAATTTGCTAGAAAATGTAACTTAGCAAATTTAACCGCTTCATCGTCGGATTTCCATGTCTTTTTTAAAAACTGCCACCTTACGCAGTTACGACTTAGGCCAACCTCAGCAAAATACTTGTCGTAGAGTCCTTGTTTGACTTTTGGGATGTTCAGTTTCTTGGTAGACCCGATACACTTAAGACCAGTTATAAGGGCAAACTCGTCTATCCCAAACCGAAGTAATTTACCTCCGAAGTCAAACCAAATCTCGTTGCTCTTAGACTGATAAACCTCTCGTAAAAGAATATGATTGACCAACTGGATCTGTACCTTGCACAATGGAAGATTAAGAAACTTACCAAATGCCGAACTCCTAAAAATCGCGAGCTGCTGCGGGGTAAGAGTTCTTTTAATTTCATTGATAGTCGACCCATCCTTGCTATTATCGTTACTGCTCATAATTTTGGCATTTATATTCCTCGGATATGGTATAAGCAATTCCCATTCCTGTACATAAATAAAGATGCAAATAATAACAAAAACATTTTACTTAATGCTATATGGTTACTGTATAGTGTTATGTAGCAACTGCAAATAATAAGAATAATGAATTTATGGAATTTTTCAAAAAATGGGAAAACATAATCTGATTATTATGAAACAATATTACTCAAATAATTTCAAATAAGACAATGACAGCAAAAAAAAAAAAAA